AGGAGTCTCTCCATCGACATAGCCCCCCAGGGCCAAGCCCCTCTCCCCTGCCTCCACCAGCTCTGACCCTCGGAAAAGGGCCCAGGGCAGCACTTATTCCCATACCCCTGGGAAGCCCTTCCAGGCCCCTGCCCAACCCAAGCCCCACAAGCTGCAGTCAGATGCAAGGCTCCCTAGAAGTGGGTGGAGGCGGGCGGGTCTGGGCGGCATCCTGAGAACTGGTCCCTCTGGGATCTGAACCAGGAGACCAGCGCTCAGCATCCAACTCGCAGGGACAGCACAAGCAAGGGTGGGAGGGGGTGGCGAGCACACACAAGGAGCCCCAGAGACACCAAGAGCCGGTCAGCTAGTGACAGAGGCACCAGCTCCCTGCCTGTGCACGCAGACCTCCTGGCGTCCCTCACCCGCCACCCAACCCCCTCTTGTGATTGAGGCAGAGGCTGGAGGGTGCTCCTAACCCGCCCAGCTCCCTGCCCTCAGTGCTGTGGGTTCCCAGCCCGTCCTACTCCTGGGTGCCCATCCACCCCAATCTGGCCCTCAAGTGGGTGGGATTCAAAAGTAGCGGGGGGGGGGGGGTGCTCTGCAGTGGACCCTGAGGCTGTGGGGGAGGGACAGGCCCAGGCCAGACAAAGAGTCTGGGCCAGGAAGGGGCACGGTGCCCGCCCAGAGGAGACAGTGGCTCAGTGTCTCGGCCTCCTCCTGGCGCACAGTGGGCTCTTGTTCCCAGAAGGCCCCTCGGGGGGGATTCCCAGCAGCATCTCTGCTCTGCTGCCCCTGAGTGCGAGGAGAAACACAGCCCAGGGAGGGGTCACACAGTGCCTGAGTCACTCTGGCCACATTCATGGTCACCCAGCCAGGGCCCAGACACATCCGGAGACACTCAAATGGGCATCTAGAAGTGAATGGCAGGGGCTGACGAAGCAGAAGCTCACAATGGGGACAGAGCAGTGATGCTACACACCTGCACACGGAGCAGCTCAAGAGCAAGAGGCGAGGCTGGGGGTGAAGCTGAGGGACAAAGGCCCCGCAGGGTAACCAGGCCCGGCAGGGTAACCGGACAACGAGGGCTGCTCTAAGTGGGAGCGAGGGGAGTAGCCATTAGGGCCCAGGGCTGGAGGAGGAGTGCGAGAGGGTCCCACTGAGGAGCAGACGTTCCTGCCACGGGGATGACTGAGGCACCGGAGAGTCCAGGAAGCGGGAGCCAGTGCAAGGAGACTACTGAGGAGAGCCTGGTCTGAGACCCTGGGCACTGACCCTGCTCACCTCCACCACCTGCAACCCTGAATGTTCCCATTTGACAATCAGGGGCCAGATGAGTGCCTGGCACACAGTAAGTGCACAAGGAGCAGCAGCTGAATCAAAAATAGGCTGGACCTCACTCCCACTCCTGGGCATACATTCGGAGGAAACTCTAATTCAAAAAGATACGTGCACCCCAGTGTTCACAGCAGTACTACTTACAATAGCCAAGACATGGAAATAACCTAAATGTCCATCGACAGATGACTGGATAAAGAAGATGTGGGTGTGTGTGTGTATATATCTATATACACACACACATACACCCCTACACATACACATACGTACATATAGTGGACTACTACTCAGCCATAAAAAAGAATAAAATAATGCCATTTGCAGCAACATGGATGGACCTGGAGATCATCATTCTAAGTGAAGTAAGCCAGAAAAAGAAAGACAAATACCAGATGATATCACTTATATGTGGAATCTAAAAAAAAAAAAAGAAGGGACAAATGAACTTATTTACAAAACAGAGACAGACTCACAAAGAAACTTGCGGTTAACCAGGGGGATGGTGGAGTGGTGGGATAAATTCAGAGTTCAAGATTTGCAGATACTAACTACTATACATAAAATAGATAAACAACAAGGTTCTACTGTATAGCACAGGGAAGTATATTCAATATCTTATAGTAACCTATAACGAAAAAGAATATGAAAACGAATACATGTATGTATATGTATGACTGAAACATTATGCTGTACATCAGAAATTGACACAGCATGGTAAACTGACTATACTTCAATAAAAAAAAATCTTGTAATAGCCTATAATGAAAAAGAATACGAAAAGGAATATATGTAAATCAACTACACTTCAATAAAAAATAAAATTTTTTAAAAGAGGAATATATATATGTATAAGTGTATCACCATCCTATACATCAGGCAGTAACGCAACATTGCAAATCAACTACACTTCAATCAATCAATCAATCAACATTAAAAAAACAGGCTGGACCTAAAAATATAATACTGTAAATCAATTATAATTCCATTAAAAAGAAAGAAGGGTGGGGGTGGGGTACAGCTCAGTAGTAGAGTACATGCTTAGCATGTGCAAGATCCTGGATTCAACCCCCGGTACCTCCATTAAATAATTAATTAATTAATTAATTAATTAAATCTAATTACTCCCTCCCCCCCAGGTTGTTTTTCTTTTTAATAAAGAAAACAGACAGGCTGGTGATGCCTGCTGGCTGTGGGGAGCTCCCTGAGGAGCTCCTGCAGCCAGGGCCCAAGCCACGGGGAGACCTGGGGCGAGACTTCAGCAAGGCCCAGTCTGGGAGGGTGTGGCCAAGAGGCAGGAGACAGGGGAGAAGCCTGGGCCCACCCAGATCTGGACAGTGGCCGTGGCCACGGTAAAGCTGGACCCTCCACTATGGCACATAGGCCTGCCCTGTGCACTCGCAAGACGACACCCACTGGGGCAGCTGGAGGCCAAGTGGATGGCGTGGCCCCAGGACACCTGCCCAGATGTGTCCCCAGCTCCTCTTAGCATGGTCCTTCCCACTTGAGCCCTGCCCTCTGACCATCTTCCACTTGACTCCTAACCTGATGCCCAACCCCAGATCTCCCTTGGGAGGGGGTCATCAGCTGTCTTACAGCCTAGAAGGTAGCCTCCACCACGTGCTACTAGGCCACAAAGCAATAGTCAGCTGGTTTCTTGGTGCCTCCTGACCACATCTGTACATGGCGTCACGTTGAGAATGTTACTGGCCAGGGCCTCCTCAACCCTCTCAGCAACCCCTCTGCTTTTCTGTGGAAGCTATGAGGTTCAGGGCAGACCTGAGAGCGGGCTGGTGGACTGTTCAGTGCCCCGTGCCTATCCCCGGGAGGACACATCAGATCTCTGCCTCCCCAAGTCACCCATCGCTAGCCGTCACCCCAAATGAGCATGCAGGGGCCAATACAGGACAACAGGAGGCCCCCCACTGCAGGAGGCCCTGGGACTCTGGGACCTGCCCCAGGAGGGCAGTACAGGAAAGGGAGCCTGCACTGGCCCTATGAGGGGGCGCTGCCCAAAGGCTGGACAGGCACATATGGCCCAGGGAGTCACTGACCGCCAGAATGAAAGCCTGTGACCCCTCTGGGTCTGACAAGGTGGAAACACCCTGGGGGCCGGGAGCCCTGAGGCTCAGAGAGCTTGGACGACCTGTCTGTGCCACATAGTCAGCAAGGGGGCAGGGCATGCATGGACTTAGCTACAGCAGGTTCTGGGTATGACAATCTGGGGTCCAGCTGGATCTCAGTAGCTGGGTGCAAGCACCTCTCAAACTGCAGAGTGGAAAGACCCACATCCCATCAATGGGCCTGGCCAGAGGGAAGAAGAGCAGCCTGGTCACCAGTCAAAGATCCCAGAAGTGCCCCTGATGACCCCACATGTGCTCCCCAGTGCCCATCTACACTCAGACTTAGCAGCCCTTCCCAGGACACATCGGGGCTGGATGACATCCAAGAGGCCCTAGGGGGTCCCTGCAGTCTATTACCAGAGTAGAAACGGCCCCAGTCCTCAGAAGCCTGGCACACCTGCCTCAAACCTGACTCTAGCTCATCCCACTGACCTGCCACAACCCCTGGAGGGGGTCCTCTGTGTCCATCTTACAGATCAGAAATTAAGGCTCGGCTCAGAGAGGCCAGTCACTGCCTGAGGCCACCCAGCCTCCTGGGGGTTCAAAGCCTGGGGCCATGTCTGCCCAGGAGCTGGGTAGGGAAGGCCACAGCCCTCTAGGGGAGGGGCAGATCATCTGGGCTCCTCAGGCTGTGAGGCACACCCCCCTCAACTCTACCCCACCTCCACACAGTGGAGCATCTCAGTTCAGGGAGGAGGGAGTCACCCAACCCAGAAAACAGGCAGAAGCTAAGGAATTTGATCCTTGGGCAGAAAGTCCATCCTGTCACAGACACTAGGGCGGGGGAACTGGAGCTGGCGAAGGGGAGCCCCTCACATCTGGGGAGAGGAGCAGTAGGGTGTGCCTGAACGAGGAAGACCCTGAGGGTGGGCCCTGGAAGGAAGGTGAGAGCTGGGTGATTCCCTCTGAACCAAGGGCTCCCTTAGAATTCGAGCTTCTGGGGCAATGGTGTGTCTGGCCCTCTAATGCTGGATTAGGGATGCTGCTCATGGTGATGCCCAGCTCTGCTGCCCTCCGTCAGCCTGTCTGTGCAATAGGTGCAGCCTGCTTGGAGGGTTTGGGACAAGGCCTGGGGCCTGGCACCTTCAATCCAGGGCCCCTCAACTCCTGTGCCCCACTACCAGCCCCTGCTAGTAGCCCCTGCTCTTCTCAAGGAAAAGTACCCAGCTTGCCCAGAATAACCCCGGTGGCAGGGGGCGCAGCCTCAGGAATCCCTTGGGCCCAGCCACTGCTAGGCTGCCAATTCCTCCTAACCTCTGGGTGGGGGCTACAGGGGCTGGGGTTGGCTCCATGGGGGTGGGGAGAACCCAGCATGTAGCTGGGCCAAACCTGAAAAGCCAGTTTCATCCTTGAATCTTCTCTGCCAGGAAATCCCAAGATGGGGGTGGGGGGAACTTTTCTCAGCAGGGCTAGGGCCTCCAGACCCCCACCCTGCCCACCCAGACAGACACAGAAATACACAACACCAAGCTGCATACACAGAAGAAGGAACTTTGTTCAGGACCATCTGGAACCCTGGTCTATTCCCCACCCCACAGACCTGTCCCCAGCAAGGCCCTCCCCAGTGCCCTGAGCACGGGGGTCCAGCCATCTCCTCAGCCAGAAAAAGGCCTGCTTCAAGGCACTGGGGGTGGCCTTAGGCTCAGTCCTGGCCTGCTCCTCCCAGCCACTGAGCACAGCGAAGGGGGAGAGAGCATCTGCAGCTTCCAGGGTTCACAGAGTGGGAAGACGGGTTGTGAAGCCCAAGTTAGGGTCAGTCCCCTATCCCTGGCTCCACAGCTACTGCTGTTATTGCTGAAATTATTCCCACCCTCAATGAGGACGACTGGGACAGGGATGATCTGCAGAAGTCCCACCCTCTGAGCTGGAGTTTCGACTTGGAGACACCACCCACTGGCGGTGGCCGGGAAGGGAAACGTAAGGGGGGGGGGGTACAGCACAGAGGAGCCTGGGGACACCCTCGGACTCCGAGACCTCCCGCTCCCAGGACCCTCAGCTGTTGGGCGGGGGCTGGAGCCGAGCTGTCCGGCCGGGTCAGGCCGCTGGGACGTGCTAATCCGGCCACGGGCTATTTTTGCGGCGCGCTGGGGTAGGAATCTGGGGCTGGGCCGCCTCTTGGGCGGCTCGGGAAACTCCGGGAAGGAAAGTCCGGCCGCCTCGGTCGGAGAGTCGCCCGAAGCCCGAACGCGGCCAGACTCTGGCCGCTCGGAGCGGCTCCGGCCGTGAAGGGCTGAG